CGTTTAATTTTGCTGCTGTTTCTACCTATGTTCAATGAAAAATTATTCACAGATTTGGAATAATAATTTTTTAAACTATCAAACGAAATATGAAAAATTATTTGTAATAATAATAATAATCTGTTATGTGATCAAAAGTATATTTTATAATCCCATAAAGAGTATCAGGCACAGATAGATTTTAACTTCAAATAAATTCCCATTTGAATGAAACATTTATCCCGTAGGTGGAAATAAAAGTTAATTTTTTTTTCACTTATCCAAACCCTTTGCCTAAATGAAATTTTTATTCGGATAATGCCAGAGCCTGCGATGTGGACTCAATTATAAACTTTATTTTCGTATCTCTCGTCGCTCGTTTGTTTTCGAACTCCCGTTCGCCGACCGCGGGTGGCGTCGTTTTAATCCGTTCTCCACAATCGCGCCCAATCATTGAATCCCTTTGGACGAATCGGAGTGTCGACGGGTCGGTCTGTGCTACAAAATTAAACGACGCCAGTCGAATCGCGTTTAGACCTCGGTTGGTCGACTCACCTATATTTTATTGACGTTGCATTTGGACGGCGGGATTGCGTAAATTCGGACCAGGCTAGGCGACCGCTTGAAACCCAATTTACACGGTTCACTCTGGACGATCATCCTGGATGAGTCATCCCAAGTGCGTGTGCGTATTGCACGAATGAATTTTCGCTTAAGCGCGTCATCGCAAATCCACTAGCAAATGCAATCCATTTCGTGAAAATTAATTGTGTTTTGAAAAATACAGGCATGAGGAACGCAAGGGACTCGTTCCTGTTGGACCGACCACTACTGATTACGATACATTAGGTTTTACAACAGCATTAAGTTGCTTATTTAGGCTACGAAAGCAATTTAATCCATTTTATAGCAAGCGTGAAACTCGTAATCGAGAAAATTACCTCTAACAGCTGTAACAGTCAAAAGACAAGCTGTATAACTGTTATGAGTAAGCATATCACGCGCGCAAGGCGTGTACACGTTCAGATAACCAACAATTTTTCTTCTTTTGTTACGGAAGAAATTCGCTGTGTGTGTTAATTTATTTAATGTTAAAAAAATGTTTTATTTTCTATGTAAAAATATAAAAAAATTTACTATGTATCGTTATTGAGATATTGTAAAGTTGATATTAAAATACGTTAAATAGAATGAAAACCTATAGAATCGCAGGAACGTGCTTTATTTATTTTTTATTTCGCAATAAAAACTAATTATTGATAAAAAAAAAGTCAACATTTTCACACTGAGAAATGAAATTAACAGCGATAATTTATGATGTGTACCATTTTCGAAACTAACACAAGATTGACGAGAACATGTATCACTGCAATGATGAATGATAAACGCATGTCCCTTTCAGACAAATACGAGTAGAGAATTGAGGCATTCAAAAGCATTGTTGATCCAATTTAGCAAAAAAAAAAAAAAAACGTGAACTATGCTGTTTTCAATACAAATTCAATTGTAAATCACTTTCATAGCCTGTACCAATCCTTCCATTTGTTGCAATATATGTATCAATTTTTCATGATAAGCTGCCATATGGAAAAGTTGTTGAAAGATACATATTTAATAGCTTTATATGTATGTTTTATATAAAAAAATAAATATACTAATATATTTTTAAACTGATAAAAGAAGAGGGGGAGAGAGAGAGAGAGAGAGAGAGAGAGAGAGAGAGAGAGAAAACGTGATTAGCACATAGCGATCAGGAAGCAAAGTTAGTATTTATATCTTGGATTTTATAAGTATCTGTATTATCATAATCCCAATTATAATTTGTCAAATTATTATTTACACCATTGGCGCAATTATAAATTTATAATTTTTTCAAGTCGTCTATCGACACGATACGAAACGTGCGAATTTACTTTTAACGCGGGGCGGCACGGAACAAAGGGACAAATACCCGCGTGTAATGCAGTTCGATCTTGTGCGTGTGCATGATGATGCGGTACAGACGTGGAATACTATGCGGCACAGGGATTATCGAACGTATTGAAACCAAACCCACCTGATTCTTCCAGCAGCAGTAACGGAGAGGCTTAGCGGCGGTTCGCGTAATCGCCGACATTATCGGCATAATTATTGTGCTCTCTCGTTGCTTCGCTAGCGCGCCTAATCGATCTGTATTGGCATAGAGCCGCATCTACGATGCTCAATAAGAAGCAATTAGGATCCCCACTATCGTTTGCTAAAAATGAGAAATTATACCGGGCTGGTAGATGTTTCAGATGGTTCAGTTCTCGGCAAACTTAGCGCACAAGCACTTGAACGATTACACCAACGTGGGGCAGTCGATACATGAAACTCTCACCCAACACGGGTGATAATCAGCGCTACGGAGATAAAAAAAAGACCGTGTAATATACAATTACGGTTAATTAACCGAGACGATCGATGCAACTGAACGTAAAGTCTTGTATTCCAAGCGAGTGACGGAATCGGAAGTGGATTTGCCGTCACGCGCGATAAATGCTGAATACCGGACAGTTATTAGCCATCGCGCAGTTTATCGATTCCGAAGTTATGGATTTGTAACTGGATCCGTTTTTACGTTTATGCCATTTGCCATTAATTGGCCGCTCGTTACTTTTTCCTTCCAAAAAATGATAAACGAGTGTACATAAGGAAATGGTTAGTTTCCAGCATCCCTATCTAATTGTAATATAAAAGATCCATCGAAATATTTATCCAAGTATTCATCACAAAAGTCAGTCATCGGCTCACAATGTTTTTTCATGCGCGCAGATAAACATAAATCTCACGCAGACAATTTCTACGGGGAGAGAAACGTGGTGTAAACGTAATTTTATAGTCTACATCACCCTACTTCGCTTTATCCTGTCGAACGAGGAAAAGCGTTCGCAAAACGATGGGCGTGCGGAAACGCGTGAGCTTATCGTCCCTCCGAAGAAGCGCAGCTTCCGAATCGAAATCATTTTTATCTTTCTGTTACAGGCGACGGACAATACTTTCGGGTCAGGCCGAGCAATAGTTCCGTGCTGGAAGGCGGCGAGGTGACAATTTCTTGCGAGGTGGGAAACCGAGTCGGTACCGTTCAGTGGGTCAAAGACGGATTTGCTTACGTCATACAGCAGAGTGAGTATAATAAATTGAAATATAAAGTTGTATTATCGTGTGTGACTGTTCCTTTTTCAAATGTCACTTTTCTAGAAAACCACAAATTCACTGCTTCACGAGGAAGTACTTTTTTCCCCCACGAAAATATCGATGTATATCAGTTAATGTTCAATTATGAGATATTCAGAATGGATAAAAAAATTTTTGATTAATAGCCAGAAAAATGTTATTTTTGGGTTTGACTATTTATTATTCTTCAAAAACTATAGATTTCAAAATTCAGTGGAATCTAATTTATCGAATAGCGTGTGTGTGTGTGTGTGTGTATTAGTTAGAGAAGGATCGTTACTTTCTGATTTCCTTTTTAATCCCCTTAATTAAGCGCCAATTACCCAGAGAAAACTGATTAGACCATTTTTTGTCTGGCATTAACACTTTGAATCTTGAAAAGCGTGAAATACGAAAGTATTGGAAAATTACAATAAAGACTGATTACATTTTTTTCAGAAAAAAACATGAGTTTCAGATCAGATTTTCAAAATGTAATACTATAGATTATAAACGTGAATTTGGTAATATTATATGCGGTGGACAATTTAAGAAAAATTTAAAGTTACATTTGTTTGTAGAATGAAATTTATCTGTCCATACCATTCGCATTGGTCTCTGATAAATCCACTTAAAAAGAGAATGATCCGAAAAGTCGTTTGATATAATATAAATGTTTCGATAATAACAAAGATAAAATGCATACAGAGTAAACTGTGCTTGTTAAATTCGGTAAAGACAGGTAATCCTGTTTGTACAATTAACGCCGCGGGAAAACGCGCTCCTGTCTAAATCTACCAATTAAAACCACGCACAAAAGCTGCTTATATTTTCAATAGGAAATTGAGTTTTCGCTTTACGCGGGATTGTTTTACACAGAAATTTTTGGAAACACATTAACGCACTAATCAAGAACCAATGTTATCCAACATTGTTTTCTACTTTTACGAATTTACAACGCTGTATATATTACGATTACACGCAGTCCACAAATACGTACACGAGGTGATTGTAAAATTTATTTTTTACATATTAAATTTTAAGCTTGATATATTAACTAAAATCTTGTTAAGGAAAGAGAATTTCAATTTATTAATATCAATTTTTCTTTTTTTGTAGAATTTTCTGGATAAGAGAAAAAATATCAGACACATACAAATGTAGAATTTTTTATCTCATTAAACTTTAAAAATATGTGAAACTTTTAATTTAATTTTCAGACACACTAATTACTTAATAAAAATTTCCTACGAGTAAAATATTTTAATATTCTCGATAGTGCCCTTTTCAATTTATCGACTAGACTAAATATTATATTAAACTGTTAAATATTTTATTCATAGTTTACAGAATGTTCAAAATTAAATGATTCCGCAAGGCGGAAAAATCTAATACGGATGGAATACAGAATTAAGAGATGGCAAGAAAATTTTGAAATTTATCTCTCTTCTTTCTATACGCTTTACATATAGGTATCTATAACTTTTACGACCTTACTTAAAGAACGCAGTAACGTTGTGGATTTATTATTTAAGCGTGACTGTAAAGAACCTCGTCCGAGAGCGAGACTATCAACGGCGAGTGGTTAATTACTCAGCGGTCTCGTCGGCTTCCGCCTATCCGTAATCGCATCGTTTTGCCGAGAGTGCTCGCATACCGATCGAATAAGCGCTAATAAACAGAGCTAAAATTAAAGCCGATGTATTAGCCGCGTATTTGCGCGATCATGAATTACAACACTTAGCCAAGAGATAGAAAATGTTAATCAATTATCTATAATTTCCATCAATCGATCGTTGCTTGCGAACAGATAGTGATATAATTCAATGCATAACGATCCGTGAATTGATGTTACAGACGGCGAAATCGTGGGCCATCCCAGGTTGAAATTGATCGGCGATCAGAACGCCGGTATTTTCAACCTGAAAATCACCGACGCGTCTCTGACCGACGACGGCGAGTACGAGTGTCAAGTCGGACGATATCTGCGTGTCAAGCCAATTCGCGCCAGCGCTCACCTAATCGTCACCTGTAAGTCGAAATATGATGAAGTACTGTCGAAAAGTTTTATCCAAGTCCGTCCAAATCGAAAAATGAAAGATAGAGACGCTTCTTTTGGAGCTTCAGATAAGAGTAGCACACGTTCCTTTTATCTGAGAATGTCGACAATCGCGTTTCCTTATTGACTGTCCTCTCTTTTTCGACTGTCATTTTTTATCTAATTAATCCGGGTGCTTTCCATTGTATTTGGTGACACAAGTCGACATAAGTCTTTCTCTTTTTGTTACTCTTTGAATATCGAGAAAAATGAAGAGAATGTTTATGTCGATTTTGTGGAACGTACCCTCTGTCATTCAATAAGTAATTCATCGATAATTCTTTAATATAATAGATTATTAAGTCAAACATGGCGGTTGTTTGCGCTGCTTTTTTTTAATTTCGAACTCTTCTTACTTCCATTTACTCGCAGCACTCACGTCGCAGTAATTTCTCTTAATAACAAAATTAACCGACTACGAGACACGGATATAACGAATACGTGTTTTTTTTAAACGGTGATTTATAGTTTTAGCACTTGTTCTTTTTCGTTTCTTTTCTCCGTCTCATTTATCGAAACGGCGAAGAGGAGAAAGCGTCTCGCGATAATTTGGACAAGTTTAATTTAATCCTTTTGCCGCCGAGAATTTAATAACTCTAACATTTAGTTTCAATGCATTTCCAATTGAATGTTTTTTTTTTATAAAAATAAAAAAAAAATGTTTGAAAATTGTTATTTTGCTCGAACGACAAGATATGAAAATTATCTTAAAATAAAATTTTGTACACGGCAAAAGAAAAGGAAGAATTAAACTGCTTCCCTCTAATTTAAATCTTTTAATCTCTATTAATACAATACAAAGTTTACAAAAAGTATAATTTCGCATCTGATTTTTTACAATTTAAGATAAGATCTCATATCGCTCGCATATTTATTCGTATATTCGTAACAATGAACTCTATTTATTTTTTTTTAAATACGAGGCGAAAATGACAAAACATCCATCTATCGACAGATCTCGGCGGAATCGCGAGGTTCGAAAGATAAACAAAATCGCATGGGCACTGTATGTTAATTAAAATTTTCCGAACGCGACCCGTGATATTCCTCGGCAATTCCGGGGAAATTTCAGACAGCAGTGGACACGAAAAATACTTACTCCTGCTTGGGAATAATCGTGTGACCGAGTCGTTTCGACGATAGCCCCGTACGGGCGTGGTACTTAAAATGCAAAGCGTGCCGTAACTCGAATTACAAACTCAGGATCTCGAAACCGTGCTTAAAGTTAATTTACGCGGTCGTACGGGCGTTACGTTGTGTAACGCCCCGTCACCATCGCGAAAGGTCGACTTTCGGGATTCTCGACGAGGACGGTTGATCACACCGACGATGACCCAAGCGGTACCAGCGTTTCCACACCATCGACGATGTCTCTTCTCTCTCTCTCTCTCTCTCTCTCTCTCTCTCCCCTTGTTGGTAAATTATGCAGAAATTATTAAGCGCGACAATATGCACTCGTCCGACAGACTTCCACGTAAACTAGTTTGGCCAAGTCCGGAACGAAGCTAGTTTTCGTACGCGCGCGACCTTTCCGGCGCGACTACGAAGACAGGGATGACGTGCTCGGTTTTGAGGGATGATGGTTTTAGTATCTGCAGAATTGCGACCTTTTTTGACAGGACCATCGACCGCGCTATTCTTCCTACCCTACCAATGCATACGTCGCATTCGTAGTAGTGCACGCCTCGACTGCTATGGCCGGAATGCAATAGTGCGTTCGTGAGTGCATCACAAAGCTAATTCCGCAACTGCTCCCAGCGCATCAACGGTTCCGATGACAAACGTTCGTTCGAAAATGAATTTTTCTTTCGCGCTTTGCGAAACGAGAACGCTCGCGAGTTGGCATTGATCCATTTATCCGGGGTTCCTCTCGCGATGTAATAAAATTACGTTTCTCCCTCGGCTTGTTTTTTTTTTTTTCAGAAACGGTAGGCGTAATCGGCTACCAAAAATGTTGACGAAATTTTTCTATCATTTCCAAACTCGTAAGTTTTCTCTGTTGTAATTTCACTGAAGAAGACTTATTGGTATAATCGAAACGTTCGATGCATTGTACGTACGTTAATGAATAACTAGTTTTAACCTTTGACCTAATTAATTGCTAGTTTGTTCGAGCCTTTCTACGAATTTTATTATATTTGCATTGCAATCTTTAGTTAGAAAATTGATATTGTTTTTTTTTTATCATCGTAATTATCTTAAAGATAAAACATGCGCGCGGTCTCGGCGGCGTTATTCAGAAAATTACCATATATAAACTGTAACTAGTTTGAATTCTCTGGATCTCAGATCTATGTATAAATTATAGATTAGAGAATTACCATAATAAGGAATTCTCCGAGCTAATGACTTATCTACTGAATTCTTAATGATTTGATGAAAAGGTAGATCTTCTCGACCCACATTTTTCCATGGACAGCATATTAAAAGAAAGAGAAAAAAAAACGCATTTTACTAATCCTACTGTATTTCGCTCTATAAAAAAGTGTCTCAAAAGTCTCCTGTACGATTTTTTCTATTTGTACTTACTAATCATTTCGCACATTGTAATAAAAAAATGCACTAAAGGCTACTTTTCTCACACTCATAATTTCCGTAAATAATATTACGCAAATAATATCATACAGGACTCTAATAAGTGCTAATAATATTATATTATTCCTAATTAGTATTTCTATCGAAATAATAATTATTACTATTATTAACGATGTGTTATGTAATATTAATACGTGTCATATAATAGTAATAATTATTTATACTAAACTAATAATAATAATAATTATTATTATTAGCGACTAATGTCAATCAAGCAACGCTATGAAAAAAAAAAAGAAAATTTTACGCGACAATCTACAACATAGAATATCATTTTTATTACGAGTTTACGGATAAGAAACGAGCAACGTTAAAATGATATTAGCCTTGATGTGCAAATTCTTCTCATGGTAGATAAGTCTAGTTTTACACCTGCGCCGGGCTTTTAATAAAACGGCCATCGTGGGCACGGGCGTATTACTAAGTCGTCATATCCGTCAAATCAATCTTCCTCGTTGCACACGTCCACGTTCATTACGCTCGTATATACCGGTGACGGTGAAAATACGTGGCAGAGACACCGTCGACGATAATCCACGCCGCGGGTCAAATGGATCATCGGTGAAAATCGCGCGTACAAATCTCGAGCGATCGTTAACGAGCGACATCAAGCCGGTAAATTCTCACGCCCGGATGCGCCTATTTTGTAAACGCACGGGCATGTGTGTTTTTCCCGCATATTCACGCAAAAGCGCGTATAAACGCAGAATCAATCTGCGCCGTTAATTACGCGCGTAACGGTATTTTCCCGATCCCATACCGGTAAACGGACATAATTGTATTTCGCTTTACTCTATCGATACCCATGTTCGTCGTCATATTTCCTCTACCTTAATAATTCAAATCGATTTCTCGTTTGTTTCCCGGTCGGCCGCTATTATCACCAAATAGCGAAGTTATCCTGTCACGGACAGACTTACGGGCATCGAGCGTAACAGGTTCGTGAAAATAATTGTCAGAGAAAAGGTCTTTAACCTTCCACCGTTTGTACAGAGAGAATGAAATGCATTTATCGGATAAAATTAGAGTCGACAGCGCGTCGATATCACGGCAGATATGTCTGATCGATTTTCAACGCTTGCAGAAATTCGAACGAATTCCGTCAATTAACGAAGTTGAGAGAAAAATAAGATATTTTGAATGTTAAGGAAATGAATTAAAATGTATGATATTGGTACCATAGATTATTCAGGAAAAGAGATAATAAACAATATAATGATGAAATATTTTCTCGATTAAAGTATTCAATATACATAT